TCTTAGCGGACCTCCTAGGAAACAGATGTTCACTTAAACGAGATCAAAAGGTCATGGTTTGTGACCGGTGAATTTCGATTCGTTTTGCTTGTTTCTGTGTTCACTGGGTTCTTTGCTCAGTTTGGGGCAATCATCGTCTAATTTGTGTCGCCGGATTTTTTTGTGATCTTTCTTTAATATTTTTGTCACTGTCAAGAATAAAGCAATGTCTGCCTCCTTCTCTCGACAATAATTCCACTAACCAGGGCGATTTCCTTCGCTATTTTTGAGCAGTCTAGAGTCATTCTCCCGCTCAGTTTTGTTTTTGCAGGCTAAGCTGGGCGAGTGCGTTGCATTGTTTTTGCATTAACCTGCCCCAAATCTTTGCAATATTTACTCGGCGCTGCCCGGCGTTTGCCGTGAAATGAGCGGCCGTCGCCTTAAGTTCGGATTGTTCAAAATTTCTTTACTGCTGGCATTGATTTGGATTCCGGCCAACCCAGACGATGCTAAACATTCATCAGCTTGATTTAGTTATACACAAAAGTCACGATTATTTTGAATTGGCTCTGAACACATTTATGCGCAATTTCATTGTTTAGATCTCGACTTGTGATTGGCTTATTTCAAAATTTGTCTGGGTGGCCTTGGTTCGTGTGGTCGCACTATAAACAATTTTCATGTACATTTTGCACATCATGGCCAAGGAAATTACGCTTTTGAAAGGAAATTTGTGTATTATTTTGGAATTTGTGTATTACTCGAGCTTGCAACAACAACCTTTATTTGTACTCACTGTTGCTCAAAAATAAATTACGAAAATGAATATATTAAAATAAAAAATTAGAGCACTGGCTGCCTGGAATAACCATAGGGGCTAGCGGAGCCAGGCAGCCAGCTTACATTAGCGTTAAATAACAACTAGGAATAGTTGACACTACAGCTGCCCCCGTTCTGTATAATTGTCGGTCAATAGTATTCTTGCTTGTTGTGTAGCTCTTGCAAATACACCGATTCATAATGAAGACTTTCACACATATTCCATACAATCGATGGTTTTCACGGTGACGTCATCAGATTGCAAAGTCAAAAAAGCGAGGTTTTACGAACTCTTATTTACACTAGGTTGAAGATTAATAGGAAATAAATCTTTGTACAAGTTTCCAGCCCCGAAGCATGTTTCATTTCGAAAATACAGCAGTTTGAACTTCGGAGTTTTCACAGTGCGTGACACCAAAATAGGAATGCTATCTCCTTGAAAAAGTCTCTCCGCTTGATTTTCAGCAGTTTAACAATTTCAAGTATTAGAAGATATGTTTATGCGCAAGTATGCTAGTTCTCAAGTGAAAAGGAGGAGCTTTATAGAAAAAGTGAACTCCAGATGTTTTTGTTGATTTCCGACGGCCATATTGCTGGACAGTTTCTGTCCACCAATATGGCGTCTCCATACAAAGCTCTACAAAGGTGCGTGAAATGTTTCGGCAACTAACTCAGAAACTGTGGGCCACAAAGACCTGAGATTTGGAAAAATTGTTTATATATTAGTCTTTTATAACATTTCACTTTCTTGGCTTCTTCCACTGGACGGTTTCAAATGTTTTTTTTTTGTGCCGTGTTTATTGCGTGACAGTGAAAACTAAGAATAGGTGAGATAAACACAGGAAACGCAAGGTTCCATGCACAGTTTCAGCTCGATTAATTTACACAGCTTTGATCAAAACATTCTCAGTTTCGAGAATAGTTTATTCTTAACCATATGTAAGAAAAGATTTAATTAGAAGTTGAATTTTTCGCTATTTCTCTTTTACTTTTTACATTCAGTTCATTTTATTTGCCGGAAAGTAAGCATTAGAAATTAAAAGGACGTTTGGTCGATTCACGCTCGCGCATTCTAGTCTTATTTGAAACTTTATAAGGGAAGGACATCTGTGAGCAGGGAATAAGTCAGCACAGAATTTGATTGTCGGCGAATTTCTGTAATCGTCCATCGTTCTGCTAGTGATGAGCTAGCCGTTGTTCACTCGTCTTGCTTGCTTGGGGCTGAGTCTTATTCCGGTCAAAGAGAGAGAAAGAGTGTCTGGCAAGGTTTCCAATATAAATCAGAGATTTGTGAACTCCTGTCTGGCAAACTCTCCAAGTGTTTCTATATACACAGTTAAACGCACCTTATAACCTCATCTGGGCTGAACGAGTGTCTTTTGGTCTTTCAAAACAACTGCTCAACAGAATGTCACTGCGTAACACAAAAGAGTATCGACGGTATGACTGCAGAATAAATGTCACAAAATCTACCTGAGCGGTCCCTTCGGGATTTTCTGTCTTTACGTCATCCTAACCATTTCGTACTTGCGGGCGCAAACAATAGAAACGTCATCATTACCTACCGATTCCTCGCAGCCCCTGTTCAAGCAAATCGAGATTTTTTCTATATTGACTCTATGACTGTATATTTCAGCTGTAAGTACTTTCCTTAATATACGCGCGAGTTACTAGAGTGCCTCCTCGGGATTTCGCCTTCTGGGCGAAATCCCTGCGGGGGTCATTATTCACCGAAGTGGAGGTGGCTAGTCGTGGTAAGGAGATAATTGAGCACACAAATTATGATTTTTAACTCAAATATTGTTGCTAACGATTACAATTTTGGCGCGTAATGACCGAACGGCCACGGTCGTCGCTTTTTCTTTCCGACGAATAAAACTTTTGAAGGCATTTGTCTAGCTCTTGCGGGGAAATTTCTTCAAAAGGAGTTGTGAATTCTTTTTGTATTTAAAATCATTCTGTAAAAAAAGATTATTAAATTTAGCTTTAAGCTTATTTATGAACAAGTCAAATAAATAAAGTAACGCAAGACTTAAGCTTAATTTGCATTTGTAAACGAAAAACTTTTTCACCGGTTTTATCGATAAATTCGAGTCAAAAAGACAAAGCTCTACCTGTTAAAACTTCCAAACCGAACTTCGTCACGTTCTTCGTGTATTTCGGGAACAGCTTGCTTGATTAGTTGTGAAATTTCTTTGTTTGTTACGGCAGCAAACCGGGAAGGCATTTTGCTCGCAACTTACGTGAGTTTGGAGTCGCTCGCTCGGAGGAACTGAATCAGTGAATAGTGCAGGATATTCACTGATTGAGTAGACAATCAGAGCGCGCGAAAAACACTATCCACTGTTTTAGTATATACTAAAAAGAATTATTATTCATTCAAAATATTTCCCTAATTCTGATTGGCTAAAAGCACACGCATAATTCACCATAACCAGTTACTGATGACCAAATTTGGAAGAATTTTGTGTTTAAAGAGGAAATGACGTCAAAAATGCAGCCTGCTACAGGTTAAGGCACCGTTACCGAGAAGACCTGGGGACGAGGTTGAGTTGTTTTGGTTGCGAAAACAAAAAACGGCGGACACTTCAAGAGTAAGAACTGCTGCTGGAACTAGGCGAAAAAATAGCTAAAAACAAAGCAAAAACAGCAAGAAGACAACTCGGAGGGAGACATCTGCTATTTGTGGAATATTTGCGAAGCTGGACAAACCTAAACGTACACTATCGAAGATGAACTTAACATCGATCCAGGTAAGCATGTTTCAGCCATGTTTTTAAACTAGGAATTACTTTGAATGAATATTAAAGCAATTAATGAATTCGTCTATTGTAGGATATGAAGAATTTAGCAGATCTCGGTGGGTGTTATCCACCTCGGCCGATAACACCCTCCTCGATCTGCTTAATTCTTCTTATCCTACTCAGCCTCATTCATTAATTGCTAAATAAATTACAGCGTAGCAGCAATAGTCGTAATCTGCAAGCCTTTTTATTTTCTTCGTATTTAGTCCTCAAAAGGGGGTTATGTCCCAGGCGTTGCTAGCGGAGACCCTGAAAACTGGGGATAAGAATCGCGACGACTTTCATTGTATGCAAATGAGACTCGTGGTGAGCCTGTGGTCCATTTTCAGCTATGATTGAAATGTCACGCCACGTTGATCATCTTTTGGCTTTTAGGCAATGACGTAATTTTTCCCGAATCGAGGCCCTTGATTTTCTTGTATTTATACACGCGTATTCGATCAACTCAGAAACAAATCGCCGAATACGATATAAAAAGTAAATACACTGAAGAATACTCGACTGTCGATAAAGTAGGACGTGAAAATATTATGGCGTTACGTTTATCAGAATATTTGACGCAATTGCCAGAACTTACCTTGCGAACAGAGGTTTCTCTCTTACATTGCTTTTAGCGTAAGTTGTTCGCGTCTCTTTTCAGTCGTGTAGTTGGTTTGTTTTGTACGCCCCTGGTTTCTCCTTTTTCGTTTGTCGTATAATTATTTTTCATTTTGTTTTTGTTTTTTTAATCATATTTTCCAAGTTGGCTTGTTTACCTTCACATTTAGCACGAAGTAATTGGGGACAGTAATTTTTACGTCTCCTACTGGAGACGGGACCGCTATTTTAAGTGGTCATCCGAACCGATTCTTACTGCTGGCCCTTTACAGCTCGCGAGGTTTTCGCGATAAACTCATTTCTAATAATGATTATATAACATTGGCTCATTCTTCCACTCTGCATGCATTACCTATCGAGATATGAAGCACTTGGAACGGTTAAGACGCACTTAAATCAAGTCACAAGACGAGTTCCTGCTTGAGTTTGTGACGTTGAGGGTGGCGCAGTTTGTTCTAAAAATAGCACATTTGGCTATTTCGATGGAACCGCGGGGACCCCGCGCTTGCGGTTTCCCACCCCGATTATGGCTCCTGATTACACGCATCAAATCCTAGAATTTTCAGCTTAAACAATTTTTACTTTCGGGCTCTTTTTTGGGGCAGTTTTCGATACGCAGATATTCAATATATGTTACTCCTTATTCTAAATTAGTGACAAGTTAATTTTTAAAGCTTTTCTGACTTCTAAGTTTACTGCGCAAATGGCAGTACGGTAGTAGAAGTACCATTTTATGAAGTGAATCCGACTTTGAGGAGTCGCGCGAATTGAGATGAACAAAATTTTGAAAATTTATTTACATCATTGGCCTTCACCGAGGTAAGCTGCCTTTATACCTTTGCTGTTAAGATAATTTACTTGGCCTTTCTTAAGTGAAACAAGTGGAAAGACGACTATCATAATAGACTTTTCAGTTTGGTTGCCTTTCACATAATCCATTACTATGGGAAAAGATTGAAAAATTAAGGATTTTATTGAAATCGTTAGTAGAATAAAAAAATTATCTTGACCCTGAATAAGCTCCTTCAAAGCCAGACTTTGTTTTTCCCTATAATTATTAGGAACGAATACTTCTCAGGGCCCAAGCAAAAATTTTCAATCTTGCATTGCGCGCCCTATTTGTTTGTATTAGAGTAGTTTCACACTAATAATTTATGCAATTGTTAAAATTGACCAATCAGAAGCCAGCTCGCAGAATTTTGCGGGCTGGCTTCTGATTGGCCCGTGCGCCCAGCTGTCTGGTGGGGAGTACCTCGGGTGCATCGAAGCTTTCACGGCTGGAGATTGAACCTTCCTTAAAGGGACACAGTCAGCTGATGCACATACGCATTAAATACAACTTCTTAGCTGATTTGCATGTCACAAGACGCGCGTGAAACAAAAGCGTATCTGGAATACTCTAAACACACCATGTAGAGTTGAACTAGTTACAAGCCGAAATCGTGATTATAGGCCCTAAGCCACATCAGAGCACTCATTTTTTATATACCATTGAGAATTCACCGATGGATTTTTCCAGGGAAGCCAAACATCGACGAATACTTTCGAATTCGAACGTCAGTAGAGGTGAGAAATTGCACGAAGTCTGAGTGATTGTACTGTGTGGAAGGTTCACGGTCGAGAACGCTTGATTTTCCAAATATATGTAACCTTTTGCATCCATTTTCCAAATATATATAACGATTATTTGCTCGTCAATGTTACTGATTCATTTCTCTTGTTATTTTGGTAAAAGAAGGCGATTTCTCCCGCCCGGCGCCTACGCGTTTCTCACCGCTTCTGTTCATGTTCCTTTGAATACTGTTTTTAACCAAATATGATAAAATAATGTCATAGGATGAGTAAAAGTTTGCTCAAAAAGAGATTTTCAGTAAAAAGATCGAGGATCGAATGAAACACTAGGTAGGATTGAAGCGGATTTCTAGATGTATCGGACGCGTAGATTTGATTTCGGGTTGAGGTAAACGCTTTTCAAACTGGGAAAAGTATTGCCCAGGCCAGCACGGTCCCATGGCTGACTGTGTCCCTTTAAAGACCGAGCGCCTTAAAAACTATGCCCATTGGACCTCTATATTCAAACAATTGTGTGGTGCACTCCTTTATACTTACATGCCAATCTCCATTTTGAGTCACTTTTCGTGAATCACAGCCGGTGTATATAAATCAATTTACGTCAGCTGAAATTAAACGCAACAAAAGACAATTATTATGGCATTTTCACCTTAGGGAGTACAGGCCGTAAGTCAAGGGCAGGTAGATGGGTAGGGTAGGGTAGGGTTGGTAGTTAGGTAGGTAGGAAGGACAGATAGGTAGGTATTAGGTATTTAAGTAGGTAGCAAACAAAAACCAAATTCATTGAATGCAAGCTAAGACTGGCAATACGACAAAGGGGCTGACTTATTTGAGACTAATATTTCAACAAACAAAATTTGCCTTCCCCAGGGCCAGAACAACACTAAAAGAAAATACTATAACGGCTCCAAAAATTTGAATTGAAATTTACATAAGACGTTGCTGATAAACTAAAAATGAGAACAATAGAAAGAATGATATATAGGTAAATAATTATACAATAAACTTAAAATTGACTGATTGATTGACTAACGTAAAATTGATTTCAATAAGCACATTATTCAAAAAAAAAAATGGCGTCAAATTTTGATATTCTTTTATCTTTCTTTTGAATTTTGTAGGTGCAATCGAGGCAAAGAGAACTGATTAACATAAGTATTAAGGAAAAGTAGTACTGCCACTGTCTGGTAATAAGGTGCATTACTCCTAGAAAGATATCGAGGAATTCTTTGTTATTAGACACTGGGTTAAGTTGGTCCCGTATAGTTTGTTTTCGGTTGCCCTCCGTCGGGGGAGGGGGGGTGTTTTTGGTATGTATATTTTCTGGAACTACGCACTCTTACGGTTATTTTCTTGTTCCATCATTGTGCGTGGATGGAGTGACAAATGTTTGGCAGTTTCTTGAAACAGTCGAGCTGGACTCTTTTTTACCTGATCTTTCATTTACATTTAACGCTCTGTCGAATACGTACATACATACATGTTTTATTTATTTGGAGTCTTGTACAATAAACAGTATGTCAACTATTTCCAAATAACTAAAATTACAAACATTTGACCGTCCCAACTGTCGACCAAGAGGGAAAGGGGAGGGGGTGATTTGTCCAATAAGGCCAATGCCTGCGTGGATGTCCGGAGGGGGATGGGCGCTTTAGGAACTGACAAAGAGTAAAGCAGGGAAGAATGAAGACAAATTTCGACCAACTTCACCCTATATCGGTACATTTATGGAACTAAAACCCTTAACAAATGTGATGCCTCCATTAGGCTATAAGGTAATGTCAAATTATACGACTTACCAGATGTGGCTACTTCAGCAGCTGAGATTTTTGTAAAGTCTTCTCAGTGTAGCAGGATGTCTTCCCTACTAGCAGAATTAATCGAAAAGGAGAATCTGCCAGCAGGGAACAGTGTATCACAAACTATAAGTCCCCGTCTAGGATCTAGATCTTGAAATTGCCCTGTGGGTGAGTTAAAGAACAGGTTGACTTGGTGAGTTTTAAGGCAAAAAAGTGCTTTCGGTCCCAACCAAGATCGCCAGGAAAGTAGCACTAAAATACAGTATACGGTAACTTCACTTCCGGAAACCTTTTTAATTTTCAAAAACATTGGCTTGATGGGAAATGGAGAGGCCATGGGATTGTCGGTAATAAACGAAGAAACATGCTTGTTTTTTAAATTAATATTGGCTAAAATCCTCCGGAACGAGTGGATCACAATTCACTGGTATCTGGCCGCACGTTACATGTTTCATTATGTCCTCATCAATGAAAACACTACAACACCCATCTCAATGGGATCAAAGAATAAACTACTCAATACACGAACACAAACTCTAACCCAAGTAGCTGACGGGATTAGCGAGCTCAAGCTGTTTGGTGAGAGGATTGGGAGGGATTTTCCCTCGCGGCTTCGTCCCAGTCGTTTCGGGTGGCAGCTCCGCCTCTAAGAAGGTACCCCAATCCCGCTAGCTACGCAGGCTATACGAACTCAGCCCATACAATTTGTTTCTGTTTTGCTGCGATATTCTGTCGCCAAACGAAAAAATTACGTTTCTAGTAAGACAAAATAAAGACTGCATAATAAGTAGAATAGCTGCCAGTACTTACCAAAACACCGTCTATTCTGTATGTAAACCCCGACTTAAACGTGTCCTTAATATACTAAGATACCGAAAGCCTTTCTAAGTTATCATAGGACTATTTCTTGACATCGAGCAGCCTATTTTAAACTTTTTTAGTTTCACCTATTTAGTGATGATTCAAATAGAAAGGGAAACAAAAATAAAATGGAAACTACATAAAACGATATTCCGTGGTAAATCTATTTTTGAACAAAGGATAAGATACTGAAAGCCTTTCTACGTTATCATAGGGCTATTTCTTGACAGTGAGAAGCCTATTTTAAACTTCTTCAGTTGCGTCGTTTTAATGATGATTCACATAGAAACATGGACAACAAAAATAAATTGGAAACCACATAAAAGGATATACAGTGGTAAATCTATTTTAAAAAAAAACCGAAGGATAAACTTCATCCAACTAGTGGTCTATTATCAATGCTGTGTACTGATTGGTTGAGCTACTACTAGGTTATATGTTATAGCCCCCTAGTAGCGAAAAGCGCGGGCTTTTTGGCGACAAAAAAGGATTAAAGTCTAGCTTTAACTAGCTAAATTTTTTTTATTCTCGTTATTTTTGACCAACTAGTTAGATTTTACTAAAACAATTATTCCTCTCGCCCTCGTGGCCTCTGAGTCAATAGCCCATTGACTCAGAGCCCATTCGGGCTCGAGGAATAATTGTTAAAGAGTTAGTCTGTATAAGAAAAATAGCCGGGGAAAGTAGGAAGTATATTACTGACTAACTGAAGGCAATAAAACCAGATTCTTGGAAAAATAATTTTGCAGTACTTTTCGTGATAAATTGTTGCTCGTGTTTTTTTTATTTTGCCTAGTTGGGTTTTTCTTTCAAAGCTGTAATGTGGCCCAAAATGGCAAACAGGTCAAAAAACAACCGAAGGAAAACTGGGGTTTGTAGAATAATTTGTTCTTTTTATGGAAGACTAGAAAACGAAAACCCTTTCCAGTAAGTTGGCATTTTTCGTCTTCTCTTTTTGTTTCGCTCGGCTTTCACTTTTACAGGAGTCAATAGTTCAAAACTGGCAACCAAGTCTAAAGAAAGAAAGGAATCGGATACATGTCATGCAATTTCATACCCGGCCCCACCGTGGTAAATCAAAATGGTGTAGCACCCCCTTCCCCTTGGTTTTTTGTCGTGTTAGTATAGTATTCGGCTGAAAAAATCAAGGGGAGGTTTTTCAACAAACTCTAACTTAGACTGGATTTATAAGAGACTCAGTAGGCGTCCAAATCTGTATGTAAGGTGATTAATATTCAAGTAAATAAATACGATTTTAGTCCTGCCTTAAAGCGTTCTTTACTCTTTCAAAAGAAGACAATGTTTAGATTTTTTTTTAGGGTTGGTTAAATTTAAAAAAGACTGAGACGCCGGTTTTGTTCTGACCCTTCTAGTGATGTAAATATTATGGGATCCGCTGGCATCTGCTGAGGTTCATAACGTCTTTCAATTAGTTCGCCATTTTAGATTTTACTGACAATTAGAATTCACTCAAATGGAAGAGAAAATAAGCTTAAAAAATGTTGTCACCAAACAGTTTGCTTATTTTGCACGTTTCAAAAAAGTTTTGCATAAGTGTCAAACGTAACCGGACATTTTTGTGAAATTTTGTTAAGTCTCCTGTCTTTATTATGAAGTCGTATCTTAAACCCTTTTAAAAACGACCAAAGGTGACCAAAATCTACCATCATGTATCTAGGAAAGAAATGATCACCTCGTGAGGAGAAATGGGACTGGACTATAAGCGCTTGTGCCTCTTGTCCTCAAAAGAACAATCATTTTCATTACAATGTAAGAATGCTCTTTGTTTTAGTTTTTTGTTCGGCTTTATTTACTACTTTTAATGGCCACAAAAACAAGCCTAAAATGAATTCGAAAAGCAAAACAGAACAAACAAACATAAAAACAGAAAACAAAAGACGAAAAAAACTAAAGTAAAGAGGAGTTACTAGTAATACAAATTTACTTTTCATCCAATATGTCGGCTAGTTTGAAAGGCTCCTTTCTGCTTTTTCACCACAATCCCTAAAAGTCTTCTTAGACATTGTATAACAGCTAAAAAAGTATTTATCGTTTCTTCGGCAGTTCTTAACTTGAAAAGTAAAAAATTATTATCATCACGGAACGGTAACTTGAGAGCTCTACGTAGTCTAATTTTGGCTTCCTAGTTTGCTGTTGTTGTTGTCGCTATACTCTATTTCATTTTCTGGGCTCTCGCTGGTTTCAGGAGCTGGTAAAAAAGAAGAATGCAAAAAAAATGCAGTTTTAATATAGAAAATGTATCGTCGTTATTTTCGTTTCGAAAGAAAACAAAAAGAACATTTTTGAAACCACGATGATGCGGTCAGTTTCAGATGGTGAATCACTTGCCCAGTCGAAGAGCAGAACACGCAGTTGTGGAAAACCGGAACGGGAAAATCAAAATTGGCCATCGAAATTGGGAAAAGATTCGGTGGTATAATCCTTAGCGCCGACTCTATGCACATTTTGGCAAAAAAAGCTACCGCTGAAGAACTTTCGGAGTGTCCTCAACACTTGATTATTGAAAATAAATATTATTGAAATTCAGCCAGTATAAATAATGACACAATTTTCCCACCCACAAATAGCCTAGGAACTAATCGAGGCGAGGAGAGGATTTCAAGGCATCTACATACTACATGGTTCTAGTAGATGGACTAAACAACGATGACGTCACTACAATACAATAAATAGAATAAACTTACACAAAAAAGTAAGTAAATAATGATTAAATACCACTTGTCTCATATCTCGGCCTTGATGTATTGACCTCGCTATCGCCCCGTCAATACATCCAGACTGAAATCTGAGATTTCCCTGTAATGACCGAACGGACGAGGTTAAGAAGTTATTAATTACCTGGCCTTCTCATCATGAGCCTGCGATCAATTAAAACCAACAACTGGTCGGCGGATAACTTTAAAAAATACGTCACCTCAACGAGTTGTACACTTGAGCCAGCAATACAGTCAGCTGACACTGGTCAGCGGATACCCTTTTTGACAGCTGTCAATTGAATATAACATGCAAGTCCATAAGGATGTCCACTATCAACTTAAACACAGATTGCCTTAGACACCTAGCTAGTAATGGCCGGTCATTACAAGAAAACAACCAATCAGAGCGCGCGTGCTATTGCAGCCATATAATCAGAAAAGATAATGCATAGAACAACTAAACAAGACGGACGAGTTCATCATAATCGTTTTCTGAAGACGATCGCCTGAGCTTAAGGATAAGGAATGGAGTTCCAAATTTGAGTACCATTCTCGTGAAAGATTCGTTAGAGGCTGATCTTTGTTCTGTAGTTATGGATCAGACTTGTTTTTATAAATTGATTGTGCAGGCTTTTTGGTTACATTTCTGTACTTTCATGTTGTCACTGAAAGTTCCTTGTTTAAAGTGAGTGACCTTATACGTACTGCAAACGAAGAGATCAGATCCTTTAACCAGTGGTCCCTTAAAAGAGGTTAAACACAAAGAAAGTCATAAGGCTGTCAGCAAAAACACAAGTGGTCCGGTCGCTGACTGAGATCTGGCTGTCAATGTGAGGTTTTAGTTATAGAGCGTTGCTTGGGAAAATTTTGCCAGCATTTTGGATGGTGGTGACTTTTGGGAGGTGGTCCTTTATGAGAGGCGGTAGCACAAAGAGTCGACTGTCTTATAATGGACTTTGGACAAAGTCCTGTGGGTTGACCATTCAACTGAAACCTCTCTTGCAGTTTTATCGCGTGATGTTGTTTATTTTTCAGTATTGCAACTGAAAATAAATATTATAGGCAA